AGTACATTAGCTAGTGAAACTGAAGAAAGGAAAGCTGCAGTGGAGGAAACCAAATTAAATGAGGGGATACACAGGGATATGCAGTGGGAGAATGAAAGGGTGAGGTCAGTCTTTGTGTATGGGCTCTAGGAAGTTGAAGGGGAAACATATGAAGCAAGAAAACAAGGGGAAAAAAAGCAATTGAAAGCATCATGAAAGCAATAGGAGAAGACGATATGACCCAGCTGGAAAAATTTCGGAGAATAGGGGGGTTTGTAAAAAAAAGAACCCGGCCAGTGAAAGTGACCTTCAAGGCAGAAGTGACTCGGAACAGGATCCTGCAGGAGAAAGCACGATTAAGGGGCATGCCGGCATACAGGAAGGTGTATCTCGACCGCAACAGAACACAAGAAGAAAGGCAGAAACTGAGAGAGATGGTACAAAGGCGAAAGGACGAAAGAGAGCGGATGGAGAAGACAGACAGGAGATCCCAGACACAGGAAGAAGATCAAATACAGCCTCCCTCACAACTTCCTATAGAAGCCTCCCAATCAGGTCAACCCCAGTGCAACCAAACACTCTAAATCAAAACACCCATGCCACATCCAATGCCCCACCCCACTACATTACAAACTCCACCCCCACAGCAACAACCCATAGTTCCTTACCAGGTCTCCCACTTCCCCAACCCCAATACACCTCCCAGACCACAGTCTTAGAAAAGAAGTTTTAAGGTGTGGTATACAAATGCAGATGGAATAACAAACAAGTATGAGGAGTGGGATGAAAGAATCAAGGAGACATCCCAACATAATAGCACTCACAGAAACAAAACTCACCAGATAATAACAGATTCAATCTTTCCATCCGGATATCAAATCCTCAGGAAAGACAGAGGGAGGAGAGGGGGAGGAGGAGTTGCACTGCTTATTAAAAACCAGTGGGGTTTTGAGAAAATGGAAGGAATGGATGGCACGGGCAAAAGGGACTACTTAGTAGGAACAATCCAGTCTGAGGGACATAAGGTGATAATTGCAGTAATGTACAACCCACCACAGAACTGCAGGAGGCCAAGAGAAGAATATGATGAGAGCAACAGAGCAATGATCGACACACTAGCCGAGGTGGCCAGGAGAGCACACATGGGGGAGCAAAGTTACTAGTTAAGGGTGATTTCAATCACAAGGAGAGTGACATGGGGGTCCCGAAACATGGAGAGCCAAGATGATGGATGTGGTACTGGAAAACCTCATGCATCAACATGTTAGAGACACTACCAGAGAGAGAGGAGAGGATGAACCAGCAAGACTGGACCTTGTATTCACCTTGAGTAGTTCGGACATCGAGGGTATCATGTATGAAAGGCCCCTGGGAGCTGGTGATCATGTGGTTCTGTGCTTCGACTACATAGTTGAGCTCCAAGTGGAGAATAGCAGGAATAGGCTGGGAAAAACCAAACTACAAAAGGGGGAACTGCTCAAGCATGAGGAACTTCCTTCAAGACATTCAGTGGGAGAGGGAACTGACAGGAAAACCAGCACAAGAAATGATGGACTATGTGGCAACAAAATGCAAGGAGGCAGAGGAGAGGTTTGTTCCAAAGGGAAACAGAAATAATGGGAAGAACAGAACGAGTCTAGGTTCACCCAAAGGTGTAGGGAGGCAAAAACTAGGTGTACTAGAGAATGGAAAAGGTACAAAAGACAGAGAACTCAAGAAAATAAAGAGATTAGCCGAAGAGCCAGAAACGAATATGCACAGATAAGAAGGGAGGCTCAGAGAGAACACGAAAATAACATAGCATCAAAAGTAAAGACTGACCCGAAGCTGTTGTACAGCCACATCAGGAGGATAACAACAGTCAAGGACCAGGTAATCAGACTTAGGAAGGGTGAGTGGGAATTCACAAGAAACGACCGAGAGGTATGTCAGGAGCTCAACGCAAGATTTAAAGAGGTATTTACAGTGGAAACCAGTAGGACTCAAGGAAATCAGAACAGGGGGGCACACCAGCAAGTGCTGGATGAGGTACATATAACCAAGGAGGAGGTGAAGAAGCTGCTATGCGAACTTGACACCTCAAAGGCGGTGGGACCAGACAACATCTCTCCATGGGTCCTTAAAGAGGGAGCAGAGATATTGTGTGAGCCATTAACAAAGATCTTCAACACATCATTTGAAACTGGGCAACTCCTTGAGGTATGGAAAATGGCAAATGTAGTCCCAATTTTTAAAAAGGGAGACAGACATGAGGCACTAAACTACAAACCTGTATCACTAACGTGTATAGTATGCAAGGTCATGGAGAAGATCATCAGGAGGAGAGTGGTGGAGCACCTGGAAAGAAACAAGTGTATAATTGACAACCAGCACGGTTTCAGGGAAGGAAAATCCTGTGTCACAAACCTACTAGAGTTCTATGACAAGGTGACAGAAGTAAGACAAGAGAGAGAGGGGTGGATCGACTGCATATTTTTGGACTGCAAGAAGGCCTTCGACACCGTTCCTCACAAGAGGTTACTGCAAAAGCTAGAGGATTAGGCACACATAACAGGAAAGGCACTGAAATGGATCAGAGAATACCTGACAGGGAGGCAACAACGAGTCATGGTACGCGAC